TAATTTAAAAAAATAAAAAATGGCAGCATGTTGAAAAAAAATATTTTTTTTTTTAAAGATCCATCTTTTTTAACAAAAAAATGGGGAGTCGAACTGTCTAAGACTTAAAAAAAGGCTTCGTTAACAGATGCGGAATCTTATTAGGAACTCGCATGCAACATTTGAAGTCAATTCGTCGAACGTAGCTCGAGTTTTCATACACACCGTGCATGAAAATATAAATCTGCAAATATTCGCATAACTAGATGTCGATACCTTTGAAGCACCAATTTAGCCTGGTAAATGAACATCCTTAACAATGTAGTAAGCGTAGATGAATGATGAATGTGCATTGCGATAATATTGGGCTGAGAACTTTCACGTTCGTTCTCTTCATTATTAATAGTGTAGAGAAGCCGAATAATTATTTCGATCATTTTTTTTTTAATTCTTTAGAAAAAGTATCTTTTTTATTTTTAATTATTTCTTTTAATTTTCTGGAGAAAGTATTAACGATTCAAACTCGCGCTTGGAACAAACAAAGTTCCGCGAAAATGTAGCAGTTTATATAAATAAAATTAATATATTAAATTAATATATTAAATTAATATATAAAATTCTCATTTTTCGAGAAACGGATAAGCTCCCTTAACGGTAATGCGACAAGCATCTATTATCTTTATGCTAGAAGTATAACAGCAAAAATGAAAAAGACTTTTCGGCAATTAAGCTTTGCGAGAATATGTAACAAAATATTATTCTTGGTTTAAGTTTAAATATAAACTTCATTTTAATAGTATCTTACAGTTCGAGGCTTAACTGTCTGTCTAAGACTTAATAATGAAAATTGAAGGATCGTTCGAGACAAAAGATAATTAAGGATGATAAGGAAAGATCGTCTTTGAAGTTTATGATCTTGTCAAAGTCTCATCAAAGCAGCACATCGTGTCTTTAGCTTATTTTAGAATCACTTTGTATGTAAATTAGTTAATAAAACTTAAGCCCTCAACTTTATCAGACAGTTCCATTATTACATCTGTTTTATTTTGTACAAGATTATATTTTTATGGAGCAAAATGCATAGGCACGCTTCTTTTCAAGCTTTTCGTTGGTTTCCTGGCGAAAAGAACTTTCAGTAAAATCTCGAATGAGAACAAATTTGCCTAACTTTAATTAGCAAACACGCTTAAGTGCCCGAGACATTCAAAGCGAATCGATTTACTTTGGTCTAATTAAATACGGAGGAAATATGTATAAATGCATCTACTTGCAATAAAATTATGAACAAATCGCTAATAAGTATTTACATATAGTGTAATACCATCTTACGCAGCGACATACTTTTCGTAATCGCAGGTATCGGACTGGATTTTTGCAAAAATGAATTTTTTTAAAATTAAACTTTATCTTCCTTCTCTCTCTCCTCCTCTCTTCTCCCCTCCCCCCTCTCACCTCTTCTCTTTTACGATATAATTATATTCAATTAATAAAGAAAAAGTTCTAGAAAAAATCGACACACTTGATTGAGATGCTCTTTTTATTATACATTTATAATAAAAAATGTGCTAATCTATAGATTTGAGTTAATGAGATTTTTACTTGAGATTTACAAGACAATAATTTCGTAAATAGATATGGATTCTGGTAATTGTATTTTTACACACAAATATAAATGTTAAGGTTCGGAATATGTTAGTAATAAATATAATAATAAAATTATGAAATAGTACATTAAAAAATTCAAATTAAGATAAGAATTTCTTATATCAATATACATTTGATTAAAATGTATACATATTTTATTATATATTTACTTCCGATGTAACGAATTTCTATAGAAATTATGTTTCATTAGCAATTTTAATTGTTTTATTAGAGCTGCCAATGAAGATATGAGAATGTTATAATTAATTATATCAGTTACATGTTTGGAATTGGTCATAATTAGTTATATCATAGTTATATTACAGTTATATCACACGCTATTGTAATTTCTAATTAGTTTTATTCAAGTTATATTCGCACAAACACGGGCACGCGTTCTTCTAAATTTAATTATGATTTTTATTTTTCTTATTAAATCTTATTATTTTCAAAGAAACCTGCGCTTTTGCGTTTTAATTAAACTTCAAATACCGTTCATTTTTCATTGTCTGATTAAGTAAAATGATAAATAATATTTTCATTTCTATTTAAATATTTGTCAATTAAAATTCAAATATTTATTCGTAGCGAAATGTTCCGCGCAAAACAGTATAAAAATTATATCGAGAGTCTTTAGTTGGGTTTAACATTGTCGTATCAAGTTGCGAATTAGTTTAGAACGTCGGTATGATTTTATATAGTCTTGATTAGCGGATATATGCTTAAATATTCTCTCTCAAATACCTTATGCAAATTTAGTGAATTAAATTAAGCATAGGAAATATATGTAAAGAATTTGCTACATTAGGGTCATTAGATAATTATAACAATTATAATAATTATAAAACAATTATTGGCTCAGATTGTATCTATTATTGCAGTAGACAAGATTCCGCTATTTTCTAAAACAGAATAATTATTCTAAATAATTATTCTAAAACGCCAAAAATACCCAAATATTTTTATAATATAAATCTAAATTGTATCTTTTACATGATTTTTTCTTAATTATATTTTTCACAGAATCGCGACCATTTAAACTTTAAATTGCGATTTTTTTCTTCTAAATGATAATTTATTTTATCTAAAAATTAAGAACAATTTAAATTTCTTATAGTCTTGCGTTAAACGTTACGCTCCGATTTTTGTTCGACAGATAATCTCGGCGCGACAGCGCAATTATGAAGGCTAAAAAGTACTTCATCTTCAACAAGAAGGTACTCTGAAGGCATTTTCGACGCCAATCGGGGCCCCGAAACATTTTGCGCGTGCATTTCTACGCGATCGAGAGGACTCGCGCGGATTCCTGAGGATTTCTGATTTTCCGAACGGAAGAAAGGCATAACGTTCGAAATCCGGTCACCCGGAGAGAGCGAGCGTGTCCGCACGGGGAGAGAGAATCGAAGAGGGTTACGCGAGCCTGGGACAAACGCTGGGACGATCGATCGATTACACGAGGGAGGAGGACCAGGAGCGCGGAATAACTCCGAGTGTTTTTTCTCGCGGCTGCGAGCTCTCGGCCGTTCAATCGTTTAATCCGTAGGTACACGAGACTAGAAATAATGGTTCCATTGTGTATATTTAGCATTTATTTAGCATTTGTGTATATATGTATATATATCTGAAAGAGAACGAAGTATCCACGAGTGCCGCTTAATTACGCATTTCTTGGGAAGATATTAAATATGCAGTAGTTTTAAAAACAAGCCTTCTTGAATATATTATAGAATACTCTTACAAATAAAAGATATATATATATATATATATAATTGTAATCACTTTTTTTATCATTATACGCAGCTGGCTCTAATTTCGATTATATATATATATAGAGAGAGAGAGAGAGAAAGAGAGAGAGTTAAATGTAATTTACACTCAAATTTACATCAATGAAAAGAGTTCCTATGCTATACTTCGCAAAAATGAACTGAAGATTGTTTTTCATTTTCGATACTTTATAAAGTATTTTTATTAAAAATTTTAAATTTGATCCCATCACATTAAATGTCGATCCTTTTTTCGCTGAGATCGTGCGCATCTGTGACTCTCCATCTATTCCCAATACGAAAATGATTAACCTAGTCATTAGGATATATATACTCACTTATATTAAATTTGGAAATATTAATGTCAAAAAAATTATGGGGAAATATATATATTTGGCCGACTATAAATAGATTATACGAGGAATTTTTTTAATTAATAATCAAAAAAACAAATAAATTTATCTGTTTCAAAGATGTATCTCTAACTTTTTTAAGAACTTTTAAATACTAATTTGTATATAGTTATTATAAAATATAAAATTTGTATATAATTATTATAAAACAATTATAATAATTATGTATAATGTTTTATAATTATAACAATTATAATAATTATAAAACAATTATTGGCTCAGATTGTATCTATTATTGCAGTAGACAAGATTCCGCTATTTTCTAAAACAGAATAATTATTCTAAATAATTATTCTAAAACGCCAAAAATACCCAAATATTTTTATAATATAAATCTAAATTGTATCTTTTACATGATTTTTTCTTAATTATATTTTTCACAGAATCGCGACCATTTAAACTTTAAATTGCGATTTTTTTCTTCTAAATGATAATTTATTTTATCTAAAAATTAAGAACAATTTACATTTCTTATAGTCTTGCGTTAAACGTTACGCTCCGATTTTTGTTCGACAGATAATCTCGGCGCGACAGCGCAATTATGAAGGCTAAAAAGTACTTCATCTTCAACAAGAAGGTACTCTGAAGGCATTTTCGACGCCAATCGGGGCCCCGAAACATTTTGCGCGTGCATTTCTACGCGATCGAGAGGACTCGCGCGGATTCCTGAGGATTTCTGATTTTCCGAACGGAAGAAAGGCATAACGTTCGAAATCCGGTCACCCGGAGAGAGCGAGCGTGTCCGCACGGGGAGAGAGAATCGAAGAGGGTTACGCGAGCCTGGGACAAACGCTGGGACGATCGATCGATTACACGAGGGAGGAGGACCAGGAGCGCGGAATAACTCCGAGTGTTTTTTCTCGCGGCTGCGAGCTCTCGGCCGTTCAATCGTTTAATCCGTAGGTACACGAGACTAGAAATAATGGTTCCATTGTGTATATTTAGCATTTATTTAGCATTTGTGTATATATGTATATATATCTGAAAGAGAACGAAGTATCCACGAGTGCCGCTTAATTACGCATTTCTTGGGAAGATATTAAATATGCAGTAGTTTTAAAAACAAGCCTTCTTGAATATATTATAGAATACTCTTACAAATAAAAGATATATATATATATATATATAATTGTAATCACTTTTTTTATCATTATACGCAGCTGGCTCTAATTTCGATTATATATATATATAGAGAGAGAGAGAGAGAAAGAGAGAGAGTTAAATGTAATTTACACTCAAATTTACATCAATGAAAAGAGTTCCTATGCTATACTTCGCAAAAATGAACTGAAGATTGTTTTTCATTTTCGATACTTTATAAAGTATTTTTATTAAAAATTTTAAATTTGATCCCATCACATTAAATGTCGATCCTTTTTTCGCTGAGATCGTGCGCATCTGTGACTCTCCATCTATTCCCAATACGAAAATGATTAACCTACCGAAGCAAACTCGGACTATATATATATATATTTTTTTTTTACATTTTGTACCTCTAGATTTGCGTTTTATTACCAATTTCATAGAAATTATAAGTTACACACAAAAGTAGCATTGCACAAACAAAATTTTCTTACCGACACTTCAAATTGTCTGAACATTTAACTCTAATTAAATATTCTCTGTCTCTCTCTTTCTCTCTCGAATTAAAAGGGTCAATTACTACAGAACTCGCAAACGTTTATTCCTTCACGCTTATTCTCTTCCATACGATATAATTATGATCACGCGGTATAAAAGGCTAACATTTTTTCTTTTACATATATTTATACATATAATATTTTATTCATTGCATATCATTCTCATTTTACCTTTTATCACGGGTTAAAATGTCAGCAAAATTAAGTGAATTTGAATACAATAGCCATTTACTATTGTATATAGTTTTAAATGGTCTTTCTTTGAACATTAACGGAAACTACGGTCTTCTACTTTGCAGTTCTTCCGAGAAGTCCGGGAAAAGTATAATAATCTAACGATCTAGATTCTGGGGGTGGGGAAGAAAGTAAGCGGACGAGAGGGGGACAAGCTCGCTCAGAGTCAATCGTTGATCAATCATAAGAGGAGGGAAGTGATAGTCGGGGAGACGACACACGTGGGGATAAGACTCGGGAACGTTTAACAGTTGGATCCGAACGCGCGGTGTTTCAATGAGACAGGGAGATGAGGACGAGGAAGTCGTTGCTGCCGATAGTTCTGCTGTGCGTCACGGTGGTGGGCCTGGCGATCTGCCAGGAGAAGAGGTGGCCCAAAACGACCACGAAGCACCGGGATAAAAGCGCCAAGGGCAAGTACGATCCCGATTACGCGGACAGGACGAGGGAGGATTCTGAGGAGCTTTATTACGATCGAAGTTCGGCCACGGACTACGGTCCCGACGCTCTACACAAGCTTAAGACAAAGCTGGCCTATAGAAACGCCTATAGAAACAACAGAGCAATCGACAACTCCAGGTATGTGTTAAAAATGTACACACACATATACATAATATATCAAATAATACATTTTTTATTATATATATATATATATATATATTTTTTTTTATTTATATACAGGGTGTTTTATATTACCCGTCTACCCCTTTTATTTTGAAAAGGGATGGTACTAGGAAA